GAGAGAGAGAGGAAGGGAGGGAGGGACAAACAGGGCACGAGAAGGAACCATTGCAACCATAGGTGCAACTACTAAGGATGCACGAAAGGGTTCTACGGTCAGACTCGAAAGCAAAGACCGGCTCCTGACTTGTCGGTCAAAAAACCTGATAAGATGCGTCCAGGAAACTCAGGAAACCCCCATTAAAGTAGGCCATTGCCTTTTGCAAAGGCACGTTCACACTGGCGAACTCCTGACAACAAATCAGTGCAGAGTGTTCCAGACCCTGCAACATGCAACAACTCGTCTCGGCCAGTCGGGTCCTCGTTCGTGGCCAGTTCCTCCTTGGTTTAGTTTTAGTTCCGTTGCAGTCTGCACATGTACCAATGTTCGTGCCATTCGGGCAGGATTCGTGGTAACGGACCGTGTGCCGAAGGATGTCTTCGGAAGTCAAGTCGAACTTCTCTTCCACCTCAGTCAATCGAATCATATCGATGAATACTTTCTGGACACATGCTACCTTTGCATGCCCCCTAGGGCTCCAGTTGCCTGAACAATAGGCTACTAACCATACATCATATACCCCAGTAACCCATTGTTTAGTTAACCGGAGCCCCTAAACCCTAAACCGCTTCCGCCTTCGAGCCGACCATTGCTTGCAGAGTGAGTGTGGCGATCCTGCTGCCGTAGGTCGCCTGGTTCCGTCACGGCACATAAGAAACCCAGAGACGCCAAAACCCCTGAATTAAGGAACATTCCTTAAATCATACTCGGGATCCTAATGTGATCTAAGGAATATTCCTTAAATCATACTCGGGATCCTAACGTGATTTAAGGACATATTCCTGAAATTAAGGGGGTAGTGGAGTCTCCAGGAACCTGCTCTGGCAGTGCTCACATCCGGCGCTCCTGGCTCTTCTGTGATTCGAACTGCCGAATCACCTTCTCCACCTCCTGCCACACATGCACCCTAAACCCTAAACCCTAAACCTTAAATCCTAAACCCCAAACCTTAAACCCTAAACCCTAAACCCTAAGCCCTAAACCCTGGACCCTAAACTGGCCCTAAACCCTGAGCCCTATAAACCCTAAACCCTAAACCCTATAGACCCTAAACCCTAAAATCCTATAAACCCTAAACCCTATAAACCCATGGGCAGAGCGACTCCTAGGTCCATTCCCTCAGACAATCAATCTCGACTCCCTGCGACCGTGCTGACCGAATGTTGGTCTGCTGTGGGGTTTAGGGGGTTCAGGGTTTAAGGGGTTTTGGGTTTAGGGGGTTTAGGGTTTAGGGGGTTTAGGGTTTAGGGGGTTTAGGGTTTAGGGTTTTTAGGGCTTAGGGTGGCTATGCTTGTAGGGCTTAGGGTGGCTATGCTGTTTAGGGTTTAGGGTGGCTATGCTTGTAGGGCTTAGGGTGGGTATGCTTGTAGGGTTTAGGGTGGTTATGCTTGTTAGGGTGGCTATGCTTTTCCACAAACCCACCAATAGCTTCTTGCAAGCTCCCTCACTGTTTAACTTGGTATTTTTGCTGCCCCCCTGGCGTTAATGTTTGCCATGATCTGTTCACCAACGCAAATAGCGGCGCACCCTTCTCGAGCTCCAAGAGCCAATGCTACTCGATGCTGGAACTATTCAAGGCAGCCTTGCTGTTTGTGAAACCCCGGATTCATGTGGTGTTGGCATGTGCTCGTGATGCGTGTTCTGTCATAGCCGCGCTATTCCAAGTGTTTGCTAACGACGAACTAAGTGTCGCAGACATCTCGTTTTGAACCACATGTTCTTTATACATGCACACACACACACATGTTGGCTCTTACGTTGCGGTGTGTGCATAGCCGTCTAGATGCTAGAGGGTGGCACTGGCCAGAAAGAGTGAAAGCCGACCCCGTCACAAGAAATGTCAAAAGAAGGAGTCCTCCGAAACAGGACGTAATGTGGTAGAGAGCAGAGTAGCCTTAGGCAACCCGTCTGCGCATGCATGAAGTAATATGCCTGTCTCTGGGCCAAGCAAGACTCGGAACGCCTTTGCACGGCGAAACTGCGAAGGGCTGAAGTGAAAACAACAACGAGTCTAGGGCCTAGGCTTTTTAGGGCTTAGGGCTTCGGGTTTAGGGTTTAGGGTTTTGATGCCGCAGATTTGCAAGTTCAGGGTTCTTCGGGATTGGCTTGTCCGTGAACGAACTTTGTGCGAGATCTGTGATATATCCGTGGAAGTTACAGAAGAGCGTTCGGCATCCAGGCATTCCGTGAGCTTCCTTTGCATCTTCTTATAGACATCTTCAGAATCCGATCTCAGCGTAAAGCGGTTCGACCGATATAGTTTTGGATATAATTTAGTTATTCCTTGATTTCGGTTTGCATTTGAAGATTCTTGAAGATTGGATGAAATCATGGAACAGCAGGTTCCTACGATCAACCTGTTATCTCCGAGACCAAGCCATTACTCCGTTCTATCCGATTCCAGTCCACTGGCACTCGTGGTGCAAGACCCTAGTGCACGAAATGTATCGCCAAATCAGCAATGCTTGCGACCATTCTGGTCAAGACTGTGGCCCTGCTTGGTAACATAGACACTTTGTGCAAAAAGCAGTCACAGCGGCAAGGCCTAAACCCTACCCTAAACCCTAAACCCTAAACCGAAGCAGGAAGGCTCTTACGCTGTCCGCAGAGCTGCCCATCCTCGAGCATGTACTTGTGGACCTCAATGACCTTGTCGTCTGAAAGCACCGGCACCTTGTATACCAAGCATGTCGCAGTCTACGATGTCTAAACACATTGAAGCATCCAGGGGCATTTTTCCGTTTCACATGTCGGCACAGCTTGCGATCACTGCTACTTCGACTACTACTAGGACGACGACGACTACGACGACGACGACGACTACTACTACTATAGCGGCGACGACTACCACGACGACGACTACGACCACGACTACTATTCCAAATTATTGCTACTAAGACTGACACTGCTGCTGCTACTGCTGCTCCTCCTGCTGATGCCACTACTGCTACTGCTACTCCTGCTAGCGCTATGACTCGAATGACGACGACTGCTCTGCTGTGGCTACTGCTGCTACAACTGCTACTGCTACTACTATCACCACCATTACCACTGCCACCACGACTGATTATCACAACACGCAGAGAGACAGACAGCTTCAATCCTTATGAATGGCCGCCCAACTCTTGAAAGGAACTTCTCTGTTCTGTTATGTGGCATTGATGCAAAGGATGGTACCGTCCAAACCCCAGCAGCCTGCAGCGGAAAGAGTGACACATCAGACAAAGCAACCTCGTCAGCGCTGTCGGTCTTCGTTGGCATTCCCACGATGGGATGGATGCCCTCCTTCACCTGAGCGTCAAGCATCTCTTTGGCAACTACCTTCGCGCACCGGGCATGCGGCCTTGGGATCGGTCCAATGCCTCTCGAGCATACCATCGAACTGCATCATAGTGAGGCCGTACCTGGGCCCCTATCGCTTCCAGGCCCCGGACCCCTCACCCACAAGCTGATCCCTAAACCCTAAAGTGCGCTGGCTGCTTGCTACTGAATGGACCCAAGATCGAGCTTCCGACCGCTGCAGAGGATCAACCGGCCTGGCTTCACTCTTCAGTCCAAGGCTACCTAGCCGCTACTTCGACAGAGAGATCAAAGCTCTCGCAAGTCTTCAAGCACGAAGCGAGCAAAGCTTGCATCACTTCTTCGAGCCACTTGTAGGCCTGGTCGAAAGATAGCTTCCTTGGTTCAGGGTTTAGGGCCGAGGGGTGCTTGTCGGCTTGGCTGTGCAGTCGGTCTTGGGAACATCAACCAGAACTTGGACTCTGCAGCCTTCTCCCTGTACTGATCCTGGGACGCTAGCAAAACTACAATTTTAGATGTTTCTTAGGGGTTATAAGAACTAAAGATTAAGACGTACTTCTAAAGTACCCGTAAGTTCCTGTTTTCAGCACTGGGGCAGCGGCTCAGTCATCAACTTTTTGGTCAGATTCTTCAAGTGGCCCTGGCTTGTCGGGTGTGCAGGGGCTCGGCAGCATGGTGTTGACGGTTTAGGGCTGACAAGGACTACTTGTGCATCCATTATGGGGAGATACGGCATCTACCGGCTTCACCAGAGATGTCAAGCACTGGAACATGCCACGGTCCACGTCCAGCAGATCTCCATTGGCAACTATATCGGAAAGGATCTGCAGCACCTGCACCAAGTAAGTCAGCATGATGTTCCAAAGCTCGCACTGAGAAGGAAGCAAGTGACGATCTGCTGCGGTGCCTGTGCCAGCTCTCCTTCCGGCGTCAGCTTCTTCTCCTTCTTCTGCTTGATAGCACAACCCTAAACCCTAAACCCCAGACTAGCTCCGGGGCAGCCTCTTCCTCTCCGTCTGCATCAGCAATCCTCGGGAAATTCGGTTTTTGTCTCTACTTCGGAATTCGGAGACACAGAAGGAATCCTCAGGCTCTGGCTGCTTCTCTGCCTGATTTATTCAAAAGGGGTAAGACGACGCAGTATTCACATACATCCATAGGTCATCTCCGCTCATCCATGCGTTCATGCATGCATGGAGCACGGGCACATTTCATCAGTTTGTTTCTTTTTCGGTTTTGATAAAATCTACTGCAGGGTATCTGCATTTATTCCGTTGTCTATATGTAAATAAACATGTTGAATGTACATGCAACCACCTATGTATGTACTACGGGACTGCAACACGCATGGTGTAGCTCCGGGGTTTGCTCCAGGGGCACCTGAACTGCGGAGGGGACATCCGCCACACAAGTCACAGACGAGGGATGGTTAGGGTTATAGGGTTTAGGGCTTAGGGTTTAGGGTTTGGGGAATCACTTCAGCACCATTCAGAAGGCTAGCAGAAACTGGATGCGATGTGGACATGAGCTTAGACATAAACCTATAGGCCGATGACGACACAGGGAGATGGCCTATCATCTGGCACAAGGATGCCCATGGCAATCTCCGAGAGATTGCAATCCGAAGCCGAAAGCCGTTAACCCCAACAAACAACTCAGAACTCCGAAACCTAAGCCCTGAACCGAATCTCATCCCCGAAAAAGCCAACACAAAAAAACCCTTCAAGCAGACCTCTAAACCCTAAACCCCTAGACCCCAAAACCCTAGACCCTAAACCCTAAATTCCTAAACCCCTAGACCCTAGACCCTAAACCCTAAATTCCTAAACCCCTCAACCCCTACACCCTAGACCCTAAACCCTAAATTCCTAAACCTCTAAACCCAAGCAGCCCTCTAGCTGCTCTCAGAGGCACCTTGACAGCCTTCTGGACTCGTTGGGCTGCTGCCAGCAAACCGGAGTACCTGAGACCCAAACTCACCGAACAGCCTGTTTAGGGTTAAGGGCTTTAGGATTTTAGGGTTTAGGGTTAAGGGCTTCAGGATTTTAGAATTTAGGGTTTAGGGTTTAGGGCTTTAGGATTTTAGGGTTTAGGGCTTTAGGATTCCGGGTTTAGGATCAAGGGCCTTCGGATTTAGTGTCTTATGGTTGTGGGTTTAAGGTCGCAGCCCCCAAAATTTTCAGGAACCTACGTGATCCTTATACAGGTATCTGATCCGAGAGCCCACTGTCCCTACCATAGCCGCAAGTGGAGGCATAAGGTTGCAAAACCGAATCCTTAAACTATGGGTCCCTGGAGCCCATGGGCGAGGGCTCAGAATTGTTTGAAGACCATGGTTTGAGGCTCTTAGAGCCAAAACCGTGAAACCTAGCAACCTTAGACACCACCTTGACATCCTAAACCAAGTCACGCTGGCAAGCTTGTGAGAGTCAGCGTCTCGTGGGCGCGGACGGCCACGTGCATGGCCTGGGTCCAGGGACCAGGGCGTTTTGTCAAAAGGCGAATGGATTTATGATCTAAGGCGGCTGGAAGATTAAGATTTCGGGCTGTGGGTCTTGAGCGTGAGGTTTAGGAAAGCATAGGATGTGAGATTTCGGATTCACGTTTTGAGCTATAAGTTTTTCGAGGCCTAGGATAAAGGCTTCAGGCTTCCGGCTTCGGGTGTGAGGCGCTCAAGTTTGTGAACTTGCTGGGGTTGTGCAGTTAGGGTTCATGCTTTACAGGAGCCGGGGTTCAACCTGAACTAGGGTGTATAATTGGGCAGCACAGTTGCTCTACTTCAACACGCACGTTCTTTGGCGGGGGCTGCCCAAATAAGGGGACGTTTGGTTCAGCACAACAACCAGCTGATATGTATGTATGTATGTATGTATGCATGCATGCATGCATATATGTATGTATGTATGTATGTGTGTATGTATGCATGTATGTATGTATTTGATTTTAATGTGGTCCGAAATCCTCTTCTACTTGCAGTATTGAGGGCCCTAAACCCCCAAATCACGCACAGAACCGTTGTAGATCCCTGTACAGATACCGGCTGATGCAACCCGACTCTAAACCCTACCCTCCCCCTAAACCCTAACCTCTAACCCCTAAACCCTAAACCCTACTCTAAGCCCTAAACCCCACTCTAATTCCACAGGCCACTTGCTTCAAGCGCTAAGTCGGGCAGAGGCTCTTCTGACACGGCGGGAGGCTCCTGGAGGCCAGGGTTCAGGGTCTAGTATGAGACTAGGGGGTTTAGGATTTAGGGGTTTAGGGTTTAGGGTTTAATTAGGGTTTAGGGGTTTTCTGCAGGGGCTCTTGGAAAAAACCTCTTTAAAGAGTGCTATATGGGCTTTTTTGTAAGACATGGCCGTAAGAAGGCTAGGATTTCTGTAAGGGTTCTTCCATTTGTTTGCCAAGGATGCACTGTCGGACAGGGCCCTTCATACATAGCTAGAATATGATCGGAGGGGTATAATATAAATACATATGTACATATTATGTATAGAGTCAGTATATAATAAGGCACGGGAGCCCTATCTGCAATTTGTCGAAGCTTCATATTGAGGGCTTAAGGACGTCAGAAGTTTGAGGGCTCAGGGTTTCAGAGCCTCGGACCCAGGGAGTAGAGTTTCAGGTTTTGGGGGTTTGAGGAGGTTTGGATTGCTGAGTTGCAGGAACTGCTGGTTCGGATGAGACAAGGACAGCGCACGCATGAGGCGTTTGAAGGTAGTGTCAGAATAGGATGATCGCTAGTACATGGTAGGTTTGTGGGCCTTCGAAACCGATTGAAACCATTAGTCAATAAGATCTTTTTGGACCCCATAAGAAAAAGCATAAATTGTCCTAAAGTTGCAGATGGGCTGCTGAGTCCATAATCTCGAAGCCCCCAAATTTGGTCCTGGCCCCACACCAGTCCTCTATGTCTCAACCTTAAACCAATCTGGCAAAACTCACGACATGCTCTGAACCCTACACCCAAAATGCCCACCTCAACCCCCCCAAGCCAGAATTCTCCACCTTACCGCCTCGCCCTCCGCCAGAATCATCCCTCCAATTTCTAAAGCTGCGAAACTGCACACCAGTCCTGCCTTCACACAAAACTCTAAACCTCGAAACCCCAAAGCCCTAGAACTCAAACAGCCCCAACACTGCAAAACGGAACCCGGAACCCCAAAGACATGAATCACACTAAAGGCCACCCAAGACCACCCTGTAAAGCCCTAAAGCCAACCCTGACGTCCGAACGACCCAACCCTAAACCCGTGTAGAAGAATGATGGTAACCCATGCAGTATTCAGGGTTTAGGGTTTAGGGTATAGGGTTTAGGGTTTAGTGTATAGGGTTTAGGGTTTAGGGTATATAGCCCTGTACATAGAACCCTTCAAGGACCCCTGAAACTAGCACTTGTCGTATGCAACCCTTTAACAGGAAGGACCCCAATAGTAACCCTCATAGAACCCCAAGCAGGGCCCTTCAAGGAACTCACCCTAAACCCCTAAACCCCTAAACCCCTAAACTCTAAACCCCACAACCCTAAAACCCCTAAACATCCCTAAACCCTAAACCCCTAAACATCCCTAAACCCCTAAAAAGCAGGGGTCCAGGAACTCACACCCGGCCTCCTCCTGCAGTCGAAGTAACTGCGCCCCCAAGGATTCGAAGAGAGGCTCATTGCCTCGGCGGATTTACCGTTTAGGGGCTAGGGGTTAGGGGTTTAGGGCCTGGGATTTAGGGTTTAGGGTTTAGGGTTTTTGGGGCCTGGGATTTAGGGCTTGATTTAGGGTTTCGGGTGCTTTTCTCACAGTGACTCTGCGGTTTTGGTTTTCGGGTTTAGGATCAAAATCTTTTGATTTGAAGAGTTGTCATAGAGGTTTCGAGGTTTTTGAAGGTTTTATGTGGGGTATGTAAGCTGCATAGGGTACTAGCATAAGTACTTCTCAGAAAGCTTGGGTTTGAAAGATCAGTGCCGCAACGCCGATACATCTGATCTCTACACGCCATAAACCCTCAACCCTAAACCCCGAAACCCCGAAACCCCGAAACCCCTAAACCCTAAACCCCTAAACCATGAACCCTAATCCCTAAACCCCTAAACTCGAAGCCCTAAACCCTACACCCTAGTGGTTAATTCAGGGCGGAAACCTCCGGACTGGATTTGGGCGACTTGGCTTTGGTGTGCAGACGGGAGGAAAAGCAATATAACTTTAGCAGTAGTACTGGTAATCATACAAATGGAACAGATGATAGTAATAATAAAAGTAATAATACTGGTAATAATAATAGCAATAATAAGAAGAAGAGCAATCATAATCATACTGATAATAAATAGTAGTACTACTAATAGTTTTACTGAGCCCAAACCCCGGAAGGCACAGGCACGCGGAACTAGGACAAGGGCTCCTTCCTTAGGGACGAACTGAACCCTAAACGGTCTTAAGGTTCATATACCATATAGGGCCGTCTGCATGAAACTTACAAGAGTTTGCGGATGCGTATGTATATACATGTATGCATGCAACCAGAAGTTTGAAACAACTACCTCCATACTCGCATAATCTCACAGACTAAAGCACTCGGTGGTCGACAGATCGCGCGCGGAGCGCATCGCAGAACCGCTCATATCAGGTGAGGTGCTTTCTCATAGGTCCTCCTTGCATCTTACATGACCCAATATGTAAGCTGCACCACCCACATCTTCGAATCAGCAGACCGGAAGGCTTTGGTGAGCAATGTAAACAAATTTGCAGAGCAAGGCCTTGTCCGTCCCCGTTTTCGTCTCGGCAGAAATAAACACTGGACTCTGGACCCTGCTCTTCGGCCACGCCCAGTCGTTTCCTGACACACAGGCTTTTTGCAGCAGGTTCCTTGTCTGGCAAACAATAAATATGCGCAGAGGTGCTCTCATGTCAGCATGTAGGATATCCCGGCCCAAGACCGCGGGTGAGACTTTGGGCAATGTCTGCGGTGAAAGTCTGTCCCAGTTGCTCAAAACTACCAAAAACAGAAATAACCAGACAAACACCACGAATCCTAAACAAGATGAATGACCGGCATAGCGCTTGCGGTCACTGTCTAACATGTCTAATGGTCGCTTCTTTCATTCTTCACTGTGTGTCACATCAAAAGAAACTCGTCTGCACGAATGTGCCGTTCAGGGCAAGGGGTGTTCAGATTCTACAAGCAACTGCTCTCAGGAGGGTACTGTTGGGTATGAAACTGCCGCGCAGCACAAGACAAACCCCTGATGTAGGGGCCTTAATACTTAGAATGGGGTTTTGGGGTCCATTATACTANNCATTAATAAGGAACCCCCCAAAATAGACTTGGAAAATATTTAGGTCCCTATAATACCTCAACCCCAGAACCTCGAAGCTGGAACCCCATCCATGACACAAGCCGTGTGCTTCGAGGCAACAACCCTTGGTGCCCACATTCGAAGCGTGCAAATGAACCACGAAACTGGGAATACACAAAAAACTCGAGTCACGTCATAATGATAGCTGGGATGACTAAGTAAAAACGCAATGACGACCGTTTGCGATCTGAAAAACAACGGAATCACACCAGATTCACTTTTCTCTACTACCCAGCAGTGTTTTCGGAAGTATCATAGTACAGCCACAGACTCCAGCAAAGGAACGTATGCATCATGTTGTACTGTCATAAATTCTGTTTTAAATGGTTCCGGCTTGTAAGGTTCAGGGTTTCAGAACTTGGGCTCTTGTAAGGAAGCTAAGCTTCCTTACGTGGCTTCGGACCAGCGTTTCCAGCCTGCAATCTTTAGCCGAATCTGAGACCCCAAAACCTCCAGCCTACGCCTTGGTCCCCGGACTTAAAGACCATAAACCTGAACAGAAGCGTCTGAGTAGCTAGTAATACTGAAACATACCTGTGCTTTCTCTATGATATCCTGATGCAAGAATCAGGCGCAACACAAAACGTAATCTTATATTGTGTAGGTGTTTAGATGATCCTACCTGCGACTTTCACGCATCCTCATCTTCCCTAAACCCCTAAACCCTAAA